AGACCAGGCAGAGATAGAGAATGAAGTCAGTGTACTAAACAGAAAGTCAGATATCTGCTGTCAAAAAGATGCTTTGTTTTTATGCTAAGGCACCATGGCAAATTCATCATTTATGCTATCGTTTCCCCTTTAATGCCTCCAGTGAGTTCTGTGCTCCTCTACAGAGTTTCTGTGTTATCAATTTACTCAGGTACATTTTGCCCTTTTGAAGGCAGTTCACATGCAGTAGCACTCAGCTGTCCGGATGATTAAATGACAAATCACTCTGATGGTGGGGAAGGGATGATGCTTCAAAAGATGACCCAAGGCTCCACTGCCTTCAGTAGTGAAGAAAACTAAGGGGGGCTCCCATCATTCATCACTAGTACACTATGCAAGGTGAGGAGTCTCCATGTACAGCAAGTAAAACAAAAGCGTCAGGGGAATTCTCATATACATTATAGTCCCTCAAAGGGGAAGTGCTGTCACATTAATATCTTCTCATGAAAGATTGTGTATACCTCTGTGTGTGTGGTGGTAAGGGTGGAAGAGGTAGTAAGGAGGGAAGGATGGTAGTAAAAAAAAAAAATTAAAAAAAAAAATTCAGCCCAGCAAATATGATAAAAAAACAAAAACAAAAAACAACAAACAAACAAAACCCACAACACTTTCATGTTCTTCCAATGCCATATAAAATGGTTTACTTAAGCAGTCCCAGACTGTTTTTCTTATTAGCAGCATAAGTATACGAATTGGTGAGGAGGTTCCACTTCTTCAGTTTCCTTCCTCCCACTGTTCACCCATAATGCTCACAATCCTGTCACACCTTCTATTCTCTTCATTTAAAAAACCAAAAACCAGAGATGTTTTTTGCCATTTTTACCAGCCCCAGAGTTCTGGCTTCTGAGTTGGCGCTGAAGGCAACAGTAAATTTATATATTATATAAATAGTGCCCAGCCAATACAGTGGTGGATGAATTAGAAATACCATATCGTAGATTGATCAACCATATGTAATGACACTATACATATATCACTTGGGGCATCTTTCCACTCAAATTTAAACTATGGTTTCAATATAAGCCAATTCAGGTGCCTCTTGTTTCTCTCTGGACTGTTGCTGGCATTCTACATTTCACTGGAACATGAAGAGAATGTACCTATTTTTAATATAACATTAATCAACCATGGTATCTAAGTACTGGAATGATGATGGCCTATTAGGTAACATGGCAGGCCAGCAGCAAAAATATTTAAATTTACACAGCCCCCTTTCTTACACAGGGCAGAATAGAGCATTAGCTTTGTCAATGCAATTGTTGTCTCATAGCATCCTCCTCCTCCTCACCAGTCAATGAAGAGCACACACAGGCTTTAGAAGAAAATGGATCACATCAGCACTAGGATTTTTGCTGGGCTCATCAATTTAGAAAGGACCAGAGTCGCTCACACAATCAGGCCATTGGCAACAGCTTTCAGTGGGGCTGAGCACCTGTAACTCCCATTCATTTAAACAGGATGACAGGTACTCAGATCTACTGAAACGTAGAATAGAGCAAAACGCTACCTTAGACATTTGCCTATCCCGCTGCATGGCAGGGTTACCCCTACAGGGTGTGAGGAGCTGTGAGGTGGGGGATGAAAAAAAACCCATGAAACTACAAAGCCTTCTCTTTTATTTGCTAATTCCATAGTTCAAGGAGTATGAAGCTGCAGGGTTACCTTAAATCTTCCGTGCTGGCTTTCCCCTCCTACCCCAGTGCTGACACCACACAGACACTTATTTTTAGATGAACAGGGTATTAGGCACAATGCTCCATTTCATGGGAACACAAAGATATGTCTTCACCTGTCATTCAGCTGATTGACTGGGACTCCTGTGTCTCAAGCTGTTCAAGACTTGGCAGGGATTTGATCACCTGGACCTCCCAGAAGGGAACAAATGATAGTGCCTCAGAGAGCATTAAAAAACAAAACAGCCATCAGACCATTTATTTTTGGCAATTCTCCTTCATTGCCCACTGTTTAAAATGTAAATGCCAGTCTTAGGAAGGGAAATCATAATAAAAGCTCTTGTATAGTATTTTTCATCAGTGAGATCTCCAAGGGCTTTAACAGAGGTTTTTGTCTCTCCCATTTTACAGAAGGGAGATGGAGGCACAAAGAACAAGTAAAGTAACTTGCCCAAGGTCATCCAGCAGCACAGCTGGGAATACAACTCAGGACTCCTGAGTCTCAATCCAGGGCTCTACCTACTCACATATGCTGCTTTGGGAAGAGTTGGAGGTTCCGGTCCCATCACATGCTACTATGGGTCAAATTCTGTTATCAGATAATCATGTGTAATCTCCATTGACAGCACTTGGAGATTCATGGAGCATTGTGTTCCCTGAGAACAGAACTTGGCTCATAATTTTAAAGTAAAGTATTATTCCTGCGATAACATTTTTGTGTGTGCTATCTGACTGAGTTCACAGCTTGCCTCGCTTATGACTGCAAATTAATTGCAGACAATGGGGGTCTCTTGATTGGTTTTGGGATATTTATATAAAAAACAGGGTTTATTAAGCTATTATCACCAAAAGCTATGGGATACAATGTTCCAATTTAAAAATAAATGCAGCTTCCAAACATTCCTATTCCCACCCATCCCCCTCTCTGAGAGGGGAAAAAGGCTGTGTATATTTTCATGTACAGAAACAGACCATGATCTGCTGTTATTTTATATTAGATACAAAACACAATTCCAGAGTAATATTCCCAAGAATAAATGTTTCACTGGGCAAGATTTCAAACAGCCTCACATCATATTTGACATTATCAGTGCAAGCAAAAGTCAGCCTAATGAAGGGCTCAAAGGTGTTGAGATCACTGGCAGTTGAGGGTGCTCAGAGAAGCTGAAGCACTTTTTGGGGCTTTGATCCAGCAAAGATTTACACTCATGCTTAAATTATATGCATTCAGCAGTCCCCCTGAAGTCAATGGGACTCTCACAGTGATCAGGGCCTGAGATTTTAAGTTCTTTAGGGCAACAATTGTCTTTTCATTTCTGTGTATACACAGTCAGCAAAATGGGGCCCTTGATCCTTGATTGGTAGCCTCTAGACACTACAAATAATAACTAGGACCTCACAATAAAGGGCGGTAAAATGTCACAAGTACATCTACAGGATATTAGCAAATCTAGCATAAGCAGTCTATTATATCCTTACCTTGTGTGGGATAAGGGGAGACTAGCAGTATCTAGGGTACTAAAATTAGCTTAAAACTAGAAAAGTAAATTTTTATTTTTGTGACAATATTTTTGTATTGCGGACAACAGGGCAGTCTTCTTTAGTAACAGTACCGAACAATGACACCTTTGCAGAGAGGATAAAGAAAGGGTTCCTCCTATCAGAGTAGGAGCATCTAAATTTAGCAACCTGAAATTAATGCAGACTCAGCCTTGAACAGAGTGTCACACACTATGCATATATACAAGGGAGAGCAAATAAGACAGAGCTTTATAGCATAAAGGTTAAAATGGATAGTTTCCCTGGATTTCAAAAGCTTGCTGAAGTCTTTGACTCATGACTGGTGCAAAGATAATCAGTTTTGTTTCCAAAAGTCAACATAATAAATTTTGTATTAAAAGCTTCAAATGCTGGAGGATCAGATAAAGTTTAACTTTCCAAATGAGTGTTGATAGTATGTGGCACCCCAAACAGTTTTTATTTGCCATCTACCTGTTTATCTGAGCAGATAAGTTTGTTATTCTTTTAACATTTTGTTAATTAACTAACCTCTCTTGTGTCCACCACAAAAACTGGAACTCCTGCTGCAGCTAATTTTGTGAAGGAATCAGAACACATCTGGACTACACGTTTCTGCTTCTATATCTAAATAGTCTGAAATAATACTTAAGACTGACTTCACAAAAATCAAATAGGGAGCAAAATTTCCAGCTGCTGAATTAGAACTGTTAAATAACTGCTTAGTTGCTGATTACAGAGAAAAATCTTTCCCATCTACAAATTCAAAAGCATTCAGTGTTGAGAGGTTTTGTAACACCTCTCCTTTTAGGAAACTAGTAAAATAGGTCAGGTAATAAGTAGAGCATGCCCCTGGATTGCCTTTAAAAATTACTCTTAGAGGAAATAAAGGAGGTAGAAGTGCAACCAGTGGACTGATTTATACTCAATAACTGCACTGAGTAATTAATTATTACATCATTCACTGCTTTTCATCAGCAAGTGGAAGGCCCCTGTATAATTTAAGACAATATTTTCAGCACCATTGAGCTTCTGCTTCACTCTGTGTAATTTTAAGCCCACTACAAACTTCAGTAAGTTTTCTTTAAATCTAAGATGATTCAAAAAAAAAAAAAAAAAAAAAAAAAAAAAAAAAAAAAAAA